TTAGTGTATTTTACATTTATTGTAATTTATTGATACATGTTTGTAACATATAATATTGTTACTTTAGGGAATTGGCATGTGTATATTGCAATTGACAAAACTGCATCTCAAGCAATATATTAAATATTTCAAGAATTCATTTGTATATCTTCTGTGATATGAGTTTAGGGAAGGAAGATTTTGATTGACATTTTGGTTGTTTTATAGTTTCTTTGAATTTCCAGCATCTCTCATCTTTTAGTAATTGATTTGAAGATTTACGTGTTTCTAAGAATATTTATCTACTGGCTAAAATTCGTTAAATCATAAATTTGTTACACATTTACATCTCTTTATTATTGCTTAGTAATAATGATATGCACCTGTAATCACAGAAGTCATTTTTGTGTGTTTTGTTATCATACCAATCTCGTTATAGCTATCATATTTTCTCATTTCCAATGTATGTGTTCCTCTTTCCTTGATTATTGGTTGCATGTTTTTGATGAAGTGTGTTGCAGAACATATTCTTTATATGCTGAGTATTCTCTTAAACTTCTCTTTTTAAACTTCAATATTTTTATTTTTAAATTTTATAAAATGTTTAACTTATTTTAAAGAAAAAAATCAAAAACCAAATCAAGCAAACACACAGACAAAAAATAACTAAAGCCATATAAGAACAACAACAGCAGCAGCAGCAGCAAGGAAACATTTGTGATACAGGGTTTCCAAACAAGATGATAGGAATTTAACAATGGTTGTTATATTGTACATTGTTATCTTCAAAATAGTTGCTCAAGTTGCCAGATACAGTCTTGCAAAGTTGTCCAAACACTACGATTTCCCTTTAAGCATTTTCTCCCCTACCATGAACTTTAACATTTTATACCAAAATTATTAGCTAATTTTACATGTATCTAAATTTACTTCGTGATTTACTATTGAAATAATAGATTATTTATTGAATGCATTTTGTATCAAAAGCAAATGGTTGGAATGAGAGTGTAGTTCAGCGATGGAGCATATACTTTTTTGGACTAACGTTCTGGATTCGTTCTGCCCCCATATCAGTAAAGCACATAAGACTTGTAACTCTGTTGCTTCTCTATAACTCTTAATTTTTCTTTATTATAGTGAATATAATATTTATATCTGGCAAATAAAAATGCATATTTTGTCATAAGACCTATAAAGATTACAAGTGTCCTAAATGAATTTAAGAGTTACTGTCTTGGGGCTGGGGATTTAGCTCAGCGGCATAAGCACCTGCCTTGCAAGCAGGCGGTCATGAGTTCATGAGTTCGATCGCAGTACCGATTTAAAAAAAAAAAAAAAAGAGTTGCTGTCTTGTTCTCTGTCATGTAAATATTCTGAATATATCTTATGTATAGTGCCTATTAGAAGAAATAATTGTTGCAGTAGATTTCTGAAGTTTGTCAAAATTGGGCCGGGGATTTAACTCGGTGTCAAAAGCACCTGGCTGGCAAGTGTGAGGTCATGAGTTCGATCCTCAGTAAAAAAAAAAAAAAAAATTGAAAATTTACTCATCTAATTTTGTATTAGTGATTTAACTGTTTCAACTTACATCTCTGACATTCTTGCCAGTACTTGAATTTCAGAAAAATTTTAAATATATTTGCAGTTTTACACTGGTTGCCAGCAATACAAGCTCAAGATAAATTGCCCATTTTGATACTGAAATTGTGATGGTCTTGCTTTAGATATTTTAGAAATTGTGTTCACAAATGTGTATCACCATTCTGAGCTCCTTACATTTGCTATACAACAGGAAGTTTGATGTCTGGCATGAAAAACAATAAATACAAATATAAAAGGATATAAGTCAGTACTTTCTAAATTGTTAAGAACAAATGAACTCTTGGGGAATACATTTTAAAATATGTTCAAAGATAAGTGCACTATGAGGTTTATCATACCTCTTCATCCATTCCTGTCCTAAATGACTCCAAATGCATGCATTTTCCTGTAGTCAGTGTTAATAAAACTGAATAAATTGCTAAACTCTGGCTTAAGCCCTTAATATACTCTTTCGCCATGGTCAAATGTTAAGACCTTTATTTCAAATAGTTGTATTAAAAATACTGAAAGATCTGGCAAGTGGTTCAGAAGCATAAAATTTATAAAATTACAACTTGAGCTGTGCCACAGCCTAATTTCCACCAGTGTGTTTTCATTCTGTTTTTGAATCTGAGCAAACAGATTCAAAACAGCCACATTTGTTCAGAAGTATTGCACCTGATTCCAGTTTATCCTTTTTTGGCTTCTTAACTTTTCTGTGGCAGCTCCTGCCAGGACTCATGGTGCTGCGCCTGCTGAGGTACCTGTGCACACTGCTAGGGAATCTGCTAATGAGATCACTGTCTGGAGTGAATGCATAATACACACATCAATGTACCAAACTGCCTGCTTTTTCCATCTCTAAAATTGTCTTGAGGGTAATAATCAAAGTTTGTCAGCCGGTTGTGTCTCCACTGCTGTATCATATTTGATGTAAGCTAATCACATGTTCTTCAGCTTTTGCTATGCTCAATCCTTCATGGTTACTAGGTCATCCCATTGTATGTACCTTTTCATGTCCTGTGTTACATTAGTGCAGTAGCCCTTATGACTATGATTATGTTGATTTTTTTCCTTAGGATATAGTTATGGTTTGAATCTGCGTGTACTCACAAAGCATCATGGAGTCATAGGTGGAGTTTTTCAGAGGTAACTGGATCATGGCTATGTGACTAGGCCCCTGGTAGGTTTGTAAGCTAGGTGTGATATTGGGAGATAAAGCCTGGTGGGGAGAATTTTGGTAAACTGTAAAGGAAATGAATGTAGAGTGTATCAGTTGATTCTCCATTCTTGCATAAGTCTACATCCTTATGTTCTTCCATACTTTCACTTTCTTTTAAGATTTTGTCTAAAGTTTGGTTCTTGTTATTCATTCAGAGTTTTCTCTGGATTTAGATATATCCCAGGCTTGGTTTTTCAGATTTCTGTTCATTGATCTGTATTCTGTATACTGTGTATACAGTACACAGTAAATATTTTCTTGTCTTATTTTTCATGATTTTCATATATTTCAGTTTATCCTTCTAATTCTGACAGTTGCTTGGTTTCCTTTTGAGGAAAAGCTTTTTTCACATTTAAAAAGTTATTTAATTATGAATTCTCAAAACATTTTCTTTCCCATTCCAATGTTACTTAATTATTGCATATAGAATAGAAGAGTATACAACCCAGATTTCCAAATACACAAATACCTGTTTCTCCCTGAACATACATGGGACAGTTTGTGATTTCTTTCAGAGATAATAATGTAAATTCTATCACGCATCATTATTCCATGTGCATATGGACCACCGAAGTCTGTCTTCCATTCCTGAGAAAGGCTATCGGTTTTCTTGTTTAAAAGATATTGAATGTTAAGATTTTATTATACTTTACAGCTCTGTTTTCTTTTTAACTAATCAAAGGTGTCATATGTGACACATTTATTTTGGAAGTTTTCCTGTTTTTCGTGGAGAGTTTGAGACAGTCTCACTTTGCATTTCAGACCGAATATACTGTGTAGTTGAGGCTGGATCAAACTCAGGTATCAGCCTCACAAGTATGTGAGCCATGTATTGCCACACTTGGCTGTGATTTTCCTTTTTGTGCCAAATAATTTTGTGATGTTTTGGTTTTTACACCTTTTTTTTTTCTTTTTTCTTTTTATCGGTACTGGGGATCAAACACACGACCACCTGCTTGCAAGGCAGGTGCTTATGCCGCTGAGCTAAATCCCCAGCCCCTAATGTATTGGTTTTTAATACATGTACTAAATTGTATTCATCTTCTATCTCTCATACTCCCTTAGAAACTGTTATATTTGAGTGCACCATGATCACTTGATGACATTGAGATATAAGATAATTTTACATCATTTGCCTGCTTTCATTGCTTATAAACCTGTTCCATCCAGGCGGGGTGGTGCAGTCCTTTAATCTCAGCACTAAGGAGGCTGAGTTAGGAGGGTCATTGCAATTTTGAGATCAATCTGGATTACAAAGTGAGCTTAAGGCAGCCTCAATCACATAGCGAGACCCTGTCTCAAAAAGACAAAAACGCAGGCTGGGGATTTAGCTCAGTGTTGTAAGTGCCTTCTTGGCAAGCACAAGGTCATGAGTTGGATCCCTGTTCTTACAAAAAAAAAAAAAAAAAAAAAGACAAAAATGGTAACAACAACACCCCCACAACAAAAAATTTATTCCAGTAAAATTTTTTCCATTAACTTTTTTTTTTTTTGTATCAGGGATTGAACTCACAACCTTCTGTTTGCCAGGCAGGCACTTATGCCACTGAGCTAAATTCTTTGCCTTCCATTAACATTTTAATTATTATTTATATACTATACTTTATGTTCAGTTATGTTTTTTATATGAAACCAAATACAAGGTTCACTATAATCAAAGAAGCAAGGACTGAATGCCATAAATATTAAGAGTTGAAGATGTATTACCTGTAACCTATCAAAGCCACTCATTAGATACTTATGTGCTCCTGTGTTTTGTGGATGGTGATCTCATAGGCTCCTTCTATGAGCTCTGATTTAGAGGAAATGCTGATACCTGGGAGTGACCCAGGAAAAGAATCATTGATTCAGTTCTACTGTTGTATTAACAATGAGTGGCAATCTAGCATCAGAATTGCTTTCTGAAATAAATGTATGTATACATGGAATTGATGACCAGACATGGAATTAAGATTTGAAAGATTCAGTCTCAACTGTGTTGTTTTTGTTACACTGAGTCAAGGTGTCCCTGTGTGTAGTTCAGGCTTACTGAACTACATCACACTGTGAAGCCTACACTGGTTTTGAACTCATGGTAATCATCTTGTGTCAGCCTCCCAAAAGCTGGGATTACACTACCACACCTGGCTCTCAATTCAAATTTTTAATGATGGGTATTGAAATATCCCAAGCTGTGAGTCTCAACCATTCTTTGAGAAATATATGTATGGTCATTTAGGAGGCAGTGACCTTTGAGGATGTGGCTGTGAATTTCACCGTGGAGGAGTGGGCTTTGCTGAATCCATCTCAAAAGAAGCTCTACAGAGATGTGATGGGGGAAACCTTTAGAAACATGGCTACTATAGGTAAAGATGACATTTCTTTCTCATTTTTACAATTAGAGAATATGATTTTTTGCTCATTAGTGCTGTTTCCTTGAATGTAAAAATACTTTGAAGAATAGCTCAGGACTTGTAGCATTACATCATGAATCTAATTTGAATGTATAACTCTTTTGTAATAATATAATGAGTTCTTCTGTTTGTATGTACAATTTAGGAAGATCTTGTGAAGACCAGAAAGTTGAAGACTATGATTACTGGAGATATCTAAGGTAATTTACAAACACAAGGAAATAGAATGTTCCTCAGATGTCAGTGTGGGAGAAAGATGACAATCCAAGGACATCGAAGTTCAATTTAATATCACAAACATTCCAAAGATGCACAAAGCTTGAATCTGTATAATCTTAGCATTGAATCACGAAAACATGAAATTTCATTTAGGTGTTGTGTATAGTTGTGTATCACAAGAATAAACTGAGTTTTGGTAGAAACTCTCAAAAGATATGTTTCAGTATATCTATCATATTTACATGTCAGTATAACACATCCAGTCTCTAAAAATTCCTAATCTTGAAGCAGTATTTAAAGTACACATGAATTCTAGTGATTTAGTAGGTGATTTTAAGCCATTCTCTGGAGAACTGAGTCTGTTCATGACTTAACATTTTTAAAAGATACCCTCTAACATTGCTGGTTATATATTGCCACTATAAGAATCAGTACACAGATATCTCAAAAAGTTAGGAAAAAAAAAAAAAAGCAGTTCCATTTAATCCAGGCATACTGCTCCTTAATATATTCTCGAAAAAGTTAAAACCTTACTACACAGATACACACATACCTGAAAACAAAGGAGGTCAGCTAATAACATCTTAGCCCTGGAATCAGTTTATACTTTCATCACTGGATGCATGGATGAGGGAAATCATTGACAGGCTCAGAGTGTTACTGTATTTTCACAAATCGAGCACTATGGGAAGTAGATTATATAGGATGGCAAGTTGAAGCTCAGCCTTGCAGAACTCATTCATCAATGAGAATCTCTCAACCTATGAAATAAAAATACTGCAGATTTTGTGCTAAGACCTTTGTTGAATTTCTGGCACTGAAAAGAAAAAGAAAGTCCTATATATTCAACCAAAAAGATGGATAATATCCTTTTGTTAGACAAAAGAAATAGATGCATCTTTTTCCCATAAAGTTAAGTGGAAACTTCAGATAAAAATGTGAAATGTAACATGGTTTCTCTTATATGAGAAGACAAAAATTATAAAATAGTAAAGGAGAGATGATAGAGGGAAGGTTAACTTTTGGAGATGGGAAAGACAGTGTGAGGAGAGAAAGGGGAGAGTGATGGCGAAAAGGGTTTCAATGATCAATATGTGACACACATATATGCCAACTGCCCAGAATAAAGCTGTATGCTCTGTATTGCAAAATAGAGCAACATTAATATTCCCTAATGAATACCACTCTTTTGGCAATGGCTGTTTAGAAGCTATTCTCTAAGGCACTCGGTTAATACATTTTCAAAGTTTCTTAGGCATTAAACAGAGCTTGTTCTGTTAAATCTTTAATATCTTTTTATCATGACTTTTTTCTTAACAGCAGTGAAGATGTAGAGAAATGCTATCCATATAAACTTTGGAATCAATGTGAAGAAATACTCGTTTGGAATCCAGATGCTAAAGTGGACATGAAACAAGCTTGTTTAACACAAGCAAAAAGCCTTGCTTGTAAAATGCCTTTGAATGGGCATTTGTCATTAAATGTGCCCATGGTAGCTCACACTGCATCAGAGGCGTATAAATATTTGAGATCTGAAGGGAAGTTTTATAAATGTACACAACATGGAAAAAACTGCAGTGATTCCCAGTCCCATGAAAAGTATGAAAGCATAAAGGTTATAGAGAGACCTTATCAATATGATCAGCATGGGGAATCCTACTCTGATCTTAGTGAAAGAGTTCATCTTATAGAAGCCTTACTATGTAAGAATAATTTGAAAATTTCCAGCACACCCAGTGATGTTCAAAGCCATGAAAGAAATCACTGTGGGGGGAAAATTTGTGCCTGTAAGCAATGTGGAGAAGCTTTCCTTAGGCACAATAAATGTAAAATACATGCGATAACTCACATAGGTGAGAAACCCTTTGTATGCAAGCAATGTGGCAAAGCTTTCAGCACATTCAGTGAATGTGAAATACATCAAAGAGTTCACACTGAGGAAAAACGGTATGTGTGTAAGCAGTGTGGGAAAGGTTTCACCAGATACGGTCACTGCAAAATACATGAAAGAGTTCACACTGGAGAAAAACCCTATGTATGCAATCAATGTGGAAAAGCTTTCAGCACACATGGGTATTGTCAAATTCATGAAAGACTTCACACTGGGGAGAAACCTTATATATGTAAGCAATGTGGGAAAGCTTTTGGTACACGTGTTAATTGTCGAAAACATGAAAGAAATCACACTGAAGAAAAATCTTATGCATGTAAGCATTGTGGGAAAACTTTCAGCACACATATATATTGTCAAAGACATGAAATAATTCACACTAGTGAGAAACCCTATGTATGTAAAAAATGTGGAAAAGCTTTCAGCACACGTATATACTGTCAAAGACATGAAAGAATTCACACTGGTGAGAAACCCTATATGTGTAAGAAATGTGGGAAAGCTTTCAGCACACGTGGATATTGTCAAAGACATGAAAGGATTCACAATCACAATTGGGCTAAACCATATGCGTGTAAGCAATGTGGGAAAGCTTTCAGCAGAAATTCTGATTGTCAAAGACATGAAAGAACTCACACTGGGAAGAAACCCTATGTATGTAAGCAGTGTGGGAAAGATTTCACCACACATGTAAATTGTCAACATCATGAAAGAATTCACACTGGGGAGAAACCCTATGTATGCAAGCATTGTGGGAAAGCTTTCAGCACACGTGCATATTGTCAAATACATGAAAAACTTCACACTGGAGTAAAACCCTATATATGTAAGCAATGTGGGAAAGCTTTCAGCAGACGCAGTGAATGTAAAATACATGAAAGAGTCCACACTGAGGAAAAACCCTATATGTGTAAGCAATGTGGGAAAGGTTTCCACAGATACAGTCAATGTAAAATACATGAAAGGGCTCACACTGGGGAAAAGCCCTATATGTGCAAGTGGTGTGGAAAAGCTTTTAGCAGACGTGGATCTTGTCAGATACATGAAAAAATTCACACTGGGGAGAAACCCTATGTATGTAAGCAGTGTGGGAAAACTTTCAGCATACGTGCTAATTGTCAAAGACATGAAAGGACTCACACTGGGGAGAAACCCTATGTATGTAAGCAATGTGGGAAAGCTTTCAGTACATGCAGTTCATGTAAAATACATGAAAGAGTTCACACTGGGGAGAAACCCTATGTATGTAAACAGTGTGGGAAAGCTTTCACCACTAACGCTCATTGGCGCAGACATCAAAGACTTCACACTGGGGAGAAACCTTATATATGTAAGCAGTGTGGGAAAGCTTTTGCTACACGTGTATATTGTAAAATACATGGAAGAATTCACACTGGCGAGAAACCCTATGCATGTAAGCAATGTGGGAAAGCTTTCATTGCTCGTGGAAGTTGTCAAAAACATGAAAGAATGCACACTAAGGAGAAACCCTACATAATGGTTGATATGTTGCATCAACCTGAGAAGGTTAAGCTACTTAGCATGGAGCCAGGATCCTTATTTTTTAAACATCCTGAGCCTGTGAAAGAGGAGATCATAAGAGACTGTGATACACTTGCACTAGCAGGGGGAGGGGGTACCCTGCCTAAAATATAAGGGAGAAAAAGAGTCTTGTTCTTCCCAAACTTTTTCTGTTTGCTGAAGTGTTGACCCTGTGCCATGCCACCTTGCTTTGGAGCCAACTGATTATGGACTGAAGCCACAAACTGAACTAAATAAACCTCTGCTTCCTTAATTTTGGATGTTGAGTATTTTTGTCCCAGCAATGAGAAAAGTAACTTAAGACACTGTATTGTAAGCACTGTGACAGAACTTCCAAAACATGGTGCTTTGTCCAACACATGAAAGACTTCACACCAGGGAGAAGCCTTATGTATGTAACCAATGTGGAGAAGTTTTCAGCAGAAATGTTTATTGTCAAACACATGAAAGATTTCACACTGCGCAGAAACCCTATACATGTGAGCGATAAGGGAAAGCTTTCAGCAGGCAATGGAAATGTAAAATACATGAGATAACTCACAGTGGGTACCAATTCTTTATATGTGAGCAATGTACTATCACTTTCAGCACACACTGATTACCAAAGTATGAAACTACTTACTGCGCAGAAACATGTATATATTTTAAAAGATGTCCATGCACACACAATGTTAAGTAAAGAGAAGTCCCACTCACTGGGGAGATGCTATATATGTCTAGCTTGAAACATCTGTGCCAATTCTTATGTAATGGAGAATTTAGAAATGATTAATACAAAAATTTGATGACAGTATTTCTTGAGAAATTTTCGAGAAAATACAAATCCCAGTTGGAGATATTGTAAAGTACATACATTCTGTGGTTTTCAGTAAATCTTACACATCTGTTGTGTGTGTGTAGGGTTTAATATAAAAATGTTGAGTTGAAATGATCATGTATTTTTTAGTGTCTGTGTACATAATGCATAGTGTCTTAATTAAACATAATGAACTGAAATGTACTTTTTATTTTCATGTACAGTTAATGTCTGTGATTATTGTTTTAGCTTTAACATTGGGAGTTCTAGGTCACTGAAAACTTACTTTTTTAAATTGCTTTTTTTCTTGTTGAGATTTTGCCACTACATTTCTTTAAAACTTTTTGTGCATGTACTCCATATTCCATGTAACAAATGATGTTTTTGAGTTCAGTGTTTCATTTTATATGAAGATAATATATTTTTAAAGGCTTGTGAGCATGCATTTTTGATCACATGTCTCCACATGACATATTGATTAGCATGTTATGTTTTTCATATTGTGACAGATACTGCCTGTATCCTAACATCATTTTATATTATTTCATGTGTGTAATGTTGCATGTTTTTCTTTCTTACTTAATATTATGATTTACATAAATTTTTATGTTTTCTTACCATCCAAATTTTACTTTACATGTTTATATTTCAATAACTTAATTTGGTGTAAATTTCCTCACCACATGTACAAAAATGAACTATACTACTGTGGGATTCTCACTGGCAAACAGCAGCAGAAATGTAAATTATCTCCAAAAGGATATCATGAATTATAGTAATATCTCCAGAAAGCATCAGGGATGTTATCATTTGCAGTGGGCCCTTGACTTATGAACTCAATTCATTCACGGGGACTGGTTGTAACTCAAGTTGCTTTTAAGTCAATACTATTTTTCCCGTAAGAAAGAATGGAAATACACAATGCATTCTGAACTTCCCAAACCATCCCTGTTTATAATAAAAAACAGTGTGAAATAATGTGTGTAATTTACCAGAAACATAATTTTCATAGTGTATTCACTAGTTTACCAGAAACAATCATTTCATTCTGTTTTTTTTTTGTTGTTGTTGTTTTTTTTTTTTTTTTTTTTTTTTGTCTTTTTTTCCTTTTTATCGGTACCGGGGATCGAACTCACGACCGCCTGCTTGCAAGGCAGGTGCTTATGCCGCTGAGCTAAATCCCCAGCCCAATCATTTCATTCTGTACTCACCATTGAAGTTGACATCTTTGTGTTGAAGGAAAAAAGGATGAAATGGAAGGTGATTATTGTTTGGAAAGCAAGACCCATTCCATAAGAACACTGGGAATCAGGATCCAGACTGACACATACATTTATAAACTCTCTTGGCATGCTGAGTCTTTATTTAAGACTACATTGGCAGCATGAATTTTGGTTTTAACCCTTGACTTTAGTTCTAAGTTCAACCTAAACTTGCAGTCGTAATCCAGGTTGTTCTTATGTGAGTGTGGTCAATACTTCAGGTTCTGCTGTATCAATAACACTACTTTGAAAAGGATTTTGTCACCTGTGGAATTATTTTCGGGAGGGGTTTGCTATTGAATATACAAGGTGAATGCCTTTATTTTGTTTCCTGATCCTATGATGCCATTTTATCTTGGGTAGTCATTGTTTTTACCTAATAAGCTGAACTAATGGCATGAAAGAAAATCTAACTCCTGTGAGCTAGCAGTCAGTTTGGTAAACATGAGTTTACTAAGTTAGAATTCAGATTGTATTTTATTTTACCAATTTTTGAGATAAATTGGTACAGTGTCATTTGTCCTTTTGTCTCTGATCTTTGAGGCATGTAACAATTGCCTTCATACACATACACTGGGTCAATGTGTGTACCTGAGTTATAGTCCACTATGGATTACAGAACAAGACCCAGTGGAGGGTGGAGAAATAAAGAAAGAAAAAGGTACTTAACAACAAAGAAAATTCCAGATCCTAGTGTATTCACTGCTGATGTTTGTAAAGTTTGTTTATATATGAAGGCAACAGCCCCAATGTATTAGCTGATTAACTTTATTTGTTCAAATAGGAAGGGAGTTCAGGGAGATGAGGAGGAAAGAAAGGAAGGGGAAAGAAAATAAGGTGGTTTAAAGGGAAAGAAAGGGAATGGGGAATAAAGCACAATCAAAAGTGACATACAAAGTTATAAATTCCCTATGATGAATGTGATCATTGTATATGTCTATACCAGTAAACTTAATAAAAAATAAAAACCTATGGTGTGAAAACATAAATAAGCAATGCATTCAATCCCCATAATATAGTGAATATAGACTGCCCTAAACTATGCTTAGATGCATAAATCACCCACAAATTGTGTAGTAGCATCTAAAATTATCTATTTTATATCTGACCCATCTGGTGTCATTTGTGGAATATACTATACTATAGAGCACAGTGTCCATCTTTAGACCATACAACATGTGGCCCAGTTTCCTGCAGCACATTCACCAAGAAGATATGTTGCATGCACTGCTGTAAGAGCTATTAAAAATATTAAACTATAAGACAGTGTGAGCACATTTACTTTTCCATAAAAAAAATCTTGCTGGCCTTGTTAATGGATGCTTGTAATTCCAGCATCTCAGGAGGTCAAAGTGGGAGGAAGAAAAATTGCGTCCAGTTATTCTACTTAGTGAGACTCGGTCTGAAGTTATATATGAAAGTTCTGCAGTTGTAATCCAGTGATTTAGTACTTCTAGCTTTATTGCCAAGTGTCAAAATTATTTTAATCCTAAAAATTACATTTCAATATTTGTTCATTTCTCATTTGACTACTTAACAGTTTATCATGAGCATCACTCTGGCAGTACAATTTTATGTAGTTGCTGTCCTGAGCATCCTTGAAGCAAGTGCCATTTTATTCAGTTGATTCTTCTGATGGATAAAGTTGATAAAATTATCATATTGTATTTCTTGTTATAGTGTCCTATAAAAATTATTTTTAAAATATTCATTTTTTGGTTAGCCTATAATTAAAAAATTGGAGTGGTAGGTGGTTAATATAAAAGGTCTAAGCCAAATGTGTTTCCTTTAGTCTGAGCATCAAAAGAAGCTGAGGCAAGATGGTCCCGGCTTTGAAGCTAATTTTGACAAGTAAGCTAGATGCCTTAGCAAACTATGAAACAGTTGTCTTTATACCTGCATTTGAGGCAAGGAAAGAAACAAGTTTAAGTGAAGAACATATCCCTAGGTTAGGGGAAAAGAAAATCAGTCTTTCAAATCATGATTACATTGCTCAGGAATTACACTCTTCATGGTAATATTTATACAGAAGTCAGATACATCCCAACAAAAACTGAAAAATTAGTGAGCTAGGCATTCCAGTTTCTGGATGTGGAGATATAAAAATTTTTGTTTTCTGCATGCTGTTAATGATTTTGGTAGAAAATACAGTAGAATAACAACATAGTAAAGACATTATATAAAATTTAAAAACGTCTGCACAGACATGACAGCCAAAAAAGCATAAAGAAATAACTCAGGATGGGCAAACTTTTACCTGATATTCCTCAGATAACTAATAGCTAAAATAAATAAGCAAATGAATTGAATACCCATTTCTGAGTATTTAAAAATTGCCAATATATACCTGAAAAAATGTTGAGTATTTTTACCCAGTAGAAAAATGCAAATTGGAACATCATCTCATCCCAGAAAAAAACATATCTTAGTAACTTTTTTTTGCTGCTGAGACAAAACACCTGACACCCAAAATTAAGAAAAGAAAGATTTATTTAACTCACCGTTTGTGGAAGTTTCAGTCCATAATGAGCTGGCTCCAAGGCAACATGGCAATACTGCAAGGCAGCAGTCAACAAAAGCAGCCAGGGCAAAATGGGGTAAGAGTAAGCCTCTTTTCCTCCCATACATTTACACAGGCCATTCCCTCTCCAGGGTGGGGTGGTACTCAAAATTGCCTGGCCCTCCTGTTGTACTAGCTGAGGGTGTTTACAAAGTAGGATCCTGTCTGGCTGATAAGTCTCTCAGTTACATTTCTAAACTTCTCAAATTGATACAATGTATCAACTAACAACACATGACTAACAACTCAAAAAATTTTTTCATGAGGCTGCAGGGTAAAAGGAACACTTCAGCAGCATTGGTGGGAATGTAAGTAGTTTAGCCACTATGCAAACCAATGTACACAACAATAATAATAAACCTAAAAGTAGTAATTACTTTCAGTGTAGTGCTTCCTTTTGTGGATATCTTCCTCAAGGAGTTAAAGACTTCATATTGCAGTGATCCATGCTAGTCCTGTTTACAGCAGCAATATCCACTTTTCTCTTGGGCAGCAGCAGTGAACCCTGCTCTTGTCAGCCACGAGATACTAATGTTAAACAAGACCCTTCAGTGTACTTTCCTTAATGAATTGTACGGGGCATTTTAATATGAAATGACTATATTAGATAACTTCTTGATCAGTCAGTGTTGGGAGACCACTACAAAGTGGCTCTGAGCAGGATTTAAATTTTACTAATTGGCTTTCTATGTTTATCTGTGAGTCTGTCCTAGACCTAGGCCCCTTGCCTGGTGATGGGAGCTGATTCATAGTAAGTGAACCTCTATGAATCACTGGTCCTGGCTGAGGCCTGGAGTGGCCTGTGAGGCCAGAGATACCTCAAAAGGCAAGATAAGGCCACAGCTGTAGACATTCTGGCTCTAACCCCAATTAACTCAGTAGAGACAAGTAAGTTAGCTTGCAAAGATTACTCCTGCAGTTTCACTTCTACCATATCTTCATATAAGACAGTTCCACTAATTGACTTGATTCATGACTTGGAGATGTCTGTGAAGTGACTGCCAAGGTCCTGCTCATTGCCTGCAGTTTCCTCAGTTTCTCTGCCCTTTGTCCTTGGTCCTAATATAAGTGGACTGATCCAGTGAATCCTTTGTTTTTACCCTCGAAGTCTCAAGCTTAATTAAAGCGTTTTGACCCTCCTGGAGCCCTAAAAATCATAGTTTGTTTCTTTTTGTTTAACCTCTGCCATACACTCGTTTGGGAGATCAAGGATCTAGGACAGAACCCACTAGGTCAATATGAGCATGAAAATGTAGCAAGGGCATCACTGTTATGAAATTTAGTGTATTAAATACATATCAATATGTTTTATTTCCACTTTACATCTTAAAGGAATATCTGTAAAGACTTCAACTTTATTGAGGTGATGCACATAACACCAACCTCATTAAATTCTCTTTTGGGTTTAGTACTATAGTCAGTGTATTTCAGTGAAGGATTTATATACACATGTATACAATGCTTTCTTCTATGTAGAGTATCATGTCATCTGCAAATAATGATAATTTCTTTCTTTCCTGTCCTTATTCCTTTTATTTCTCTCTTGTCTAATTGCTGTGGCTAACATTTCCAGGACTATATTGAATAGGAGCGGTGATAGTGGACAGCCTTTTCTTGTTCCAAATTTTAGAGTGAAAGCTTCCAATTTTTGTCTATTTTTTATGAAGATGGCTGTTGGTTTGTCATAGATGGCTTTCATCAGATTGAGGTAGAGACTATCCTAACTTTTTTGCAGTTTCTAATTTCCTCATGAAAGTTCTTAAAAATTTCCCTTGAGTAATCAAAGTTTGCATACTCCTACAATATGTGTGAAAGGGCTTAAACCTGGGACACCATTGACTACTCAGTTGAAATTAGAAGCTTAAAAACAAGAAGGACCAATAAATCAAATTTGATCCAAGGAGGAATTCTTTGAAGCCCAATAAGAAATCCCTAATAAAGTTATTTAAAGGCTGAGCACTGTTTAAGACACAGGTGGGCTTGAGGTGAGACAAAAGTATGGTGAACCAGTAAGATTACAAGCATAATTTTTCAGGCAAAGATTAAATCACAAATGGGGAGGCAAGTGGGCATGAGCACAGAATAGGAGCTCTTCCTGTAGGAGCTTAGGTTAGTGGTCCTTCCTGGCTTTCTCTAAGTTATTGGTACCTATATCGAATATCAGTCCCTGATGTTTATCCTCAGGAAGCATGTGGTTGCATTTTGTCCTGAAGTCTGGCCCAAAGTGGAAGTGCCTGACTCCCCCACTGTTGTGAGGTATCTCCTCTTCTGCACTGGCTCCTTGAGGGCCTAGACCTATCTGATTACCTGTAATATTTTTATCTAAATTAGGTACTTACAACAATAACTTACCATTGTGCCCTACCATTTCAGACACTCCACATCAGTTATTTTCACAATTCCATAGTTGCTGTACCATGCTGCAGCTCTAGATGTTCCCAGGGGAAAGAATGGAGGCGATGGGAAAATAGAGATGAAAGCTGAGGTCAGGTGGAACTCTCTCCTGATAGGAGGAAAGGAACTGCTATACGGCTGTAAGGATGTTTATTCATACATTTAGTTAGATAAAGTCATGTGACATCATTTTGCCTAGCAATGCATTGCTTTGATTGCCTTGGGGCTTGGTGTTCTCTGGGCTGGAGCAGCTTGTTCAAGTGGCTCCCCCCAGGTGCTCTGTTCTTGGGAAGGCCTTGCTCCAGCCCCACAAGTGTGATAAATCTCCAGCTTCAGCCACTCAAAAAAATAATTCAATACAGATTTTTTCTTTATTTCAGGTATTTGTCTGACATCTTTTATGAATTTGTGCTTCATGCTTCAAACCATCTCCAAATTTCTTATTTATTTCCCCCATATGACTTAGGGTAGCTTCAGTGATATTTCCATGAACTTTTGGTTCATTTCCTCTTTGAACGTCTTGATTTACTTTATCTTTTCATACAGTTCTAGTATTTGCTTTCCTCTCAAATTGTGCCTGCTTAATCTGTATTAGGAGAGTCAGGAGACCTTATGGTTCTTCTATTGCCTTCAACCTTCCAAACGAGTGAACAGTGACGGCTTAAATAAAGAGACAAGAGGTATAATTTTAGGGCTCCAGAAGAATCAAAACCCTCTAGCATCATTTGAGATTCTCTGGGGGCTGAGAAAAAGAATTTCTCTGGGTGTCCTATATTTATTTGGTTTTCAAACAAAGGAAAGGAATACTGAGAACATTTCAAGGAAACTGAGCAGGACCTTGGGAGTCAACCTCTCCAAGTAGTAAATTCTGCTAATTAGTACAACTGTCTTATCTCCAGGTTGACATTTACCACACTAGTCTCTAGTTAATTTAGGTTGGAGTCAGGTGTCCTTAGCTGTGGCTTTATCTTGTATTTTGAGGGATTCCAACATCACAGGCCACTATAGGGCTCAGCTGGGACCAGTGATTCATAGAGGTTCACTTACTGTGAATATGCTGTCTCCAGACATGTGGAATGGGCCTGGGGCAGACTCAAAAGTAAACATAGAAAGCCACTTGATTAATTTTAATCCTGCTCAGTGACACTTTGTAGTTGTCTCCATCAGTTAACAAACAAGTAAAGCAAAAATACAAAAGAAAATTCCTTTTGTCCTCTGCTTCACTGATATTGTTTTTCTCTGGCTCTCAGTACTATTGGCCTCTAGAATTGGCTGAATCTACATCTTCAGCTTTCTGTGTCTCAGGCTTTCACACTACTATTGATATGTTGCGTTTCTAGTTACAGGCTGCAGATTTTGGGTTTCCAGCTCCTTTAGCCATGGCTGCTAATGCCTGATAGTAAATATATTTTTTACAAATAGGTTCTGTTGATTCAGAAAATTCTAATTTATAAGAAATGAAGCATTAGCTAACAGATATGAATCTCCTAATTCTCAAGTTTGATAAAGTTGATGAAGGTCATTTTGATGTAATGTTCTCACACAAGTGTGGTTTTCTCTTTTAATAAAACAACAGCAACAATGAGAAACTAAAAAATTAGTGAAGGCTAGAAAAACGGACAAGCTTTTGATTTCTAGAAGTAACAATGTTCACTTTTGTGTGATTTCTCCATAATTTTTAGTGAGGAAAAACTAGCAAATTATCTCTCAGCCAAAGGGGAAATATTTGGAAAACTATCAATCATGATAATCTTTGGAATGTTGTCAGGTGTCAGGACAATCGTGTGTTTCAAAGATTCCATTCTGTAATGAATGGGGCATGTCCCTCACCTACCTCTGTTTTTTTTTTTTTTTTTCTTTTTTTTCATTTTTATCGGTACCAAGGATCGAACTGCTTGCAAGGCAGGTGATTATGCTGCTGAGCTAAATCCCCAGCCCCTGACCTACCTCTGTAGAAAAGCCCTTAGCCAGAAAGCTGAATGTATGCATTTCACTTTCTCAAGTCAAATATGCAGTGTTTAATGGATATTTGTATGGCACATTAAGCCATTTTTGAAGTAAAGAGAGTTGTCTTCCCAAATTAGAGAATCAGAGGATTTAAACAAGGTTTTTGGATGCTCTTCTGGCATTGAAATATTAGGTCAGTTTCACTCAAATATTGTGCACATTGGACTACTATATATGTAGTTGTTTTCTATTCCAGGATTATTTGAGGCACAATTGTAAAAATTCAGACTTTTTGAACACTGATTCAAATTTTTTTAGAGCTAAAAATTGAACTCAGGACATGGCCCCACATACACAAATGCTTTCCCTCTGAATGTTACTCCTAGCTCTCTGAATTACACTTTATTTGCAATATATTGTCTGTTTGTAATTATTTTAAAAGTTTATGTGAGATAGAAACATTAATTATTTATTATTATTTAAAATGTTTCTTGTAATGAAAAGAGGAAGATAGAAAAAAATGTAATGTTTTACATGCATGTCCCATCTTTCCATGATGAAGATAATTATGTACCACAATCATATATTAATACAATTAAAACAAATAGATAAAATATTTTATATATTATATAAAATTCTTTTATATACAATTACTTCTGAAATCACTAAAGATATTAGATAACCAGTTACTAGAATACATGTTTTAAAATCCCTCAAAGGATAATTTAGTTCTCTAAATATCGACTAAATAAGCAAGAAACATTAATAGTGTGAGGTTTCTGAGAAGGCAGGTAGTAATCTCAAAGGACAAAAAATGTTCAGATGAAAATTTCTCTATGATTTCTCCAGATAGAAGTCTACAGTGATCAGGGCTGGGGATTTAGCTCAGTGGCATAAGCACCTGCCTTGCAAGCACTCGGTCGTGAGTTTGATCCCTGGTACCAACCTAAAAAACAAAATGTACAGTGAAAGAGTCTAATAATAATCCCATGTTGGTGAATTTGTGCAAAGTTGCCACTTTGAATCATAATTCAAATTGAAGAACAATTTTCATCAGTGCAATAAATATATTTGACCTATTCATTGATAGCAATTTTGGTACTGGGTATATTCAAAGATAGCTCTAGAGAGATAGAACCATAAAATTGAAATTCTTTAATGGCTTTAGTGACTCCTTGAGTTGGCTTTCTAATTTGATGAGACCCAAAGATGCCAATGTCTCTCCTGATATTGAGGGGAATACTGATTGTTCCTGATGTGAACTGTTTAAGGTAATACCAAATGTAGACCCATTTGATTATGGTACCCTATCTCACCACTTATGAGATGAAAAGAATTTAGTGACTCCATATATGAAACTTCTGAGTACTTTTTTTTAGCAGACTAGAATAATAATGATAGTGGCTGGTTACTCCAGCAACTCTGGAAAAACTAGTAAAGAAAAACAATGAACTAAAAATACTGTCTTGGTTAGATTTTTCTCAATACTGAGAAAAAATACCTGAAATCCAAAATTAAGGACAGAAAGGTATTTTTAGCTCACAATTTGGGGAGATTTCCATCTGTACCCAGCTGGCTACAAGGCAGAGCGGCACCTGGCAGAGGGCAACAGTTTATGGCAATGGAAGACAACAAAAGGAACAAGAGCAAAAGGGTTAAAAGGGAGAGGGGCAAGACTTTCTCTCTCCCTTATACTTTATTCAGGCTACACCCCAGAGTGGGTGCAGCATTCACACTGACAATCCCAGCAGTATGCTTTTTTTTTCCAAGTTCAACAACTTTGTTAGCACCCTAGCAGGTACAGTGACCCCTGGACAGGGGTCTGAGACCTTGACGATCCAATGCAAACTACAGTATGTGATTCAGGCCCTGAGTCGGTGCTTGAGTGTCGACAATGCATCCGGTCCCCTGAGGGAACTCAGAAGGGCACAGCTAACAGGTAAGTTGTGGCCCCCAGCTGATTTGTTCAGAGAGACAGAGCATAGAGAAGACGCCTCAGAGGCAGGATTAATGAATCGGATGTAATCAGTCAGGTCAAACTCAATGACTCCACTAGACACACCTACAAGTGTACTTTACTAATCTATTACACATCACTCAAGCAAAACAAATTGTTAACAAGAGTAGCACATTGTTCCAAACAATGTATTATTTCTAGGAATATCGAAGTCCTGAAAAAGCAGAGTTTCAATCTTTGAAGAGTGAGCTACAGAGCATGGTGAGCATAAGAGTTTGAAGTCTTTTGTGGTCCCTGCCTCATCACAATTAAATAGTTGAGGTTGAGGAGTGTGGCTCCATTTCAGCCATCATTCTGACATCAAGCTCTTCAATATGCTTATTTTCAGAATTCAGGTTTTTTTGTTTGTTTGTTTGCCCTGGATTTGTAGCAAACTCCTTTGAAGGAGTGGAAATGTTTTGGAATCTTTCCTCTTTATTCATATGCAGATCATCATTGTTTTAATTTTAATTTCATTTACACAATAATTCTGCCCTTTTTGAGGAGGGGCGTGTATTCATTTTCTTGACTGGAAATGATTATATGGAGATAGTGTGAAAATATTTACTACGAAGCCTGCTGTTTTCACTCCATAATATTACTCTGTTAAACAGTCTGCTCTCCCTCTTTTCCATAGTGCCCTTGCCTAACCCTGGACTCCGGAAGTTTTCTGACATCAAGGGATTGATTCTTTCCTAGAATATTGATCGTAGAATCTTCTGAACACGTTTGTGTCTCATATTCAGGAAAAGTCCGATGAGTCATGAAGGAAAACAAAAGCAGAATTGAAAAGGAAGGGATAAAGCCCTTAAATGCAAGTATCCTTCAGACAAAGCGAGTTTAATGTTGTACTAGACAGCCTGGCCCCGAAGTCCCTGCTCTATAATCTTTTATTTGATAGCCACTTTGAACAGGTAGGGATTTCTTTCTCTCCTTATTTTTGGCTCATAAGAAGGGCAAGTGACACAGCTCCAATCAGTGATGAAGGGGCGGGCTGTATGAACTGTCCAATCAGGTGCTCCAAATTCGGAGAGTTCTTCCGGTGTCATGGCGCCGAAGAGTTTACTAGACCGTCTTTTGTGGTTTCTGCTGCCGACAGCCTGATTAGGAAAGACCTGGAGAGACCCTCAAGCCACACCATGGTGACGTTGTGGGATGGGATCCCTGCCACGGGGTGAAATTAGGATGAGATGTGAGAAGTGGTCACACCAGCTGTGGTGACTTGAGCCTCCGCGCTTTGGCCTCAGATTCTGAGGTCCTCCTGGACTGACAATGATTCATCCCCTGTCCCTTTTGGGCCTTTCTGGGACAAAGCTAGTTTTGGGTCCTCACTGGGACACCATCCGCCCACGATGTTGCTTTGGGACACCCCTACTGCCCTCGCATCTCCCCCATTCTGGCGAGAGGGGAGACCCTGAAGCAGTTGTGGTTTGGATCTCTGGTGTCATTTCTGCTAGCAGCAATTCTTGGAGGATTAAGTTTATAAATGTCTGTGATGCAGGATCTCATAGCCACGACTCCTTTTTTAAATGTATGCTTTTTATATTTTTTTTTGGTACCGGGGGTGGAACTCATGAATGCGCGCTTGCAAGGCAGGCGCTTATGCCGCTGAGCTAAAATCCCAGCCAGCCTCTGCTTTTTTATGTTTGTAATGGGCTCCTAATTTTCCAACATGTCCTCACTTTGAGAAACTCATTATAGGTGTGACAGAGTCCTGAGAATTCAGAGAAGTGTGGCAATGTGCCTCAGCGGCGGCGGAGCACTTACCAGACACTTGGTGAACACTCGGTTCCTTAAAGGGCGATGTATTAGACATGCATACTCTCTACTGAATTGTTTAGTTGACACCCGTACTCACCCTTAGGCTATTGAAGTGAGAACCGCCAGAGTTTAGAATTCACAGAAAAATGGGGGAGATGTTAAAGTACTAACAAGGGCAGGGGAAGGTGTACCTGCTAAGAATAACTGACAGAAGGGTCAGCCTGTTAACCCCGCACTGAGAAAGGCCTAGAATTGGGGCATTTCCATGCACTTGTATATGTGATACGTATATGAGTGGAAAGGGATTAGGTGTCCTCTTCTCCTAATTAATGGCTTTAGAGTCTGACCTGATGATGGACATTGTTGAAATATTGAAATGCTATCTAGGGTAGGCATTAATGGAGCACTAGAGTAGAAAAGAAGCCTAAATAGAAACTGTGCGGTTATCAGTTGTCAGGAATATACAGTTTTCTGGTTCGGATGGAACAAAGGAGAATGGACAGGGTGTGGAAGAGATTACCAGAATGAGTGCAAAGAGTAGCGCCTACAACAATATGAAAGATTGTTTTTAGGGTAAGCCTGAAGGAAGAATTGTGTGCTTGTTTGGTCTGTGAGGTGGCCAAAAGTCACAGGCTTGAAGAAGGAAGGGGAACTTAATATTAGGTAAATATATTTTTTGTTACCATTGATCAGTTGATCTAATCATTTTGATGCAAAATTGGTGCTTGATAGTTTTTATTGCACAGGAACTGAATTTTTAGGTTTTTTTTTTTTTAATGTTGAGATTTGGTCTCAAAATTTTCCCAGTGAACCATGATTTATTGATAGTATGTGTATCTCAATGACTGCTGCGGTAACATGTATGTGTCACTGTGCCAGTTTAAGACTGCGGTTCTTTATTCACCATGATTTACCAAGATTTTAGTGCTCACGTAAAGTTAAAATTAGCGAGGTGTGGTGATTCACACAATTACTCTCAGCTATTTAGCAGACTGCAGCAAGTGTATTACTGAACGAATCCTGGCCTGGATGATTGAGCAAGACCCTCTCATTTACCTCCACTGACAGTAACTTATTTCACATGCCTTTGGATCTGTGATAAATCTCCAGCACTGAATAATAAAAGTAGATAATTAAGTTGAAATCTTACCTTGAGGTTTGTATTTTATTCTTTTTGGAGACTAGTGATATATTGTCTAATTCTTGCTCAGGATGGTGGACTGCAGTAATGAATCACTCCTTTGGCAGCAACAGGCCACCAGTGGTGATCAAGCAGTGATGTACAGTGCACTGTATTCAATAAAGTGCATTAGTTATTTAGTGTTATGAATTTTGTATTGTGTTACATACATTTTCCCAAGCTAATCAAATAAGTGTGTTGAGCAGGTTTAAAGGACTCAAGGATTAGCAGTGATGTTTAACTGAACAAGCATATTCTGTACATTTTCAACACATTTTCTTTTTAACTTCCTTTACATTGATCATGATATTTTTGCTTTCAGTTTCAAGTAGAGTGTGTACTTCTACTCTAATAAATCCTTTGTAGAACATGGTACTCATCAGATTTTTTTTTTTTTTTTTTAATTTTGTTGGTACTGGGGATCAAACTCACAAACCTGAGCTTGCCTGGCAGGCACTTATGCCACTTAGGTTAATCCCCAGTCCCTAGATTGATTTTTTTGGAGAGCTGTTTAATCAAGTTGCCTAAAGCAACCTACTGAACACAACAGTATAAGTAGTATTTAAAAAGGGAACGCCATGGATTTTTTTCTTTTGTTTGCTTTGATTTCATTTGGTAGTTATTATTATTTTAAAAAGAGCCAAATGTGTTGGCACATGTCTGGAATTTGAGAACTGGGGAAGCTGAGGCAGGAGGATTGCCATAAGTTATAGACCAGCCTGGGCTCCATAGAGAGTTCACAGTCAGCCTCAATAGTGATGTCCTATCTTAAATACTAAAATAAAATTAAATGAGTAAAATGAAATAAAGAGGTGCCCCACTCTGTTCACACTACCTGGCTTGCATAACTAACAATTCAGTAGGATAGAGATTTTCAGTGACCAGACACAAGCCTGAGCAGTCTGAACAGAAACCAACAAGCATGTGCATGTATGAAGAGAAAACACTTCCATTACAACTTCTAATTCATGCAGATTTTGGAAACCCTTCTAATTGCTTTAACTTTTGGTAAATATCTGCTTTTGTATGCTAATTTTACCACTCATGTAATCTCACTTCCATTTCGATAACATTGAAGAGCTGAAGGCTTGACTGTCCAGAACTGTGACTTCCAAGGCTGTTTTCTTTTGCAGTGATTTATCTCTCTCCAGGAAAAGAGATGAGCATGGGCCTTTGTTATATGATCCATAAGTTCCGGGTAACTGCAGTCCCTGAATCTGCCTAAGTTCTCTTGGTTGCCCACACACTGAGGACAGACTCTGCATGTTGGTATCCTGGAGATGCCCGTGGGAGTGGCTTTTGACACAGTTCAGACAAAGCACAGAGCTTCAGTTGAAAGCACCTTTTGGTCTGTCTGTGGCTGTCGTCATACAGTATGAAGCAGTGAAGCCTGCCTAGCTTTTCACACAGTTGATTCCTGAAACATAGTGCAGGTGGTGAGGACAAGGAGAGAACGTGCAATGACAGATGCAACTACTTTGCAGACAGTCACTGAGCGGAGTGAAGGGCTAGAGATGTGGCAGGTATCGAGGCCTTTGCCCACTCTTGTACTTGTCTGTCATTCAGGAGCTTCTGTGTGTGCTGCATCTGCTAAGTCACTGGTTCATCAAGCAGTGGTGATTGTGTGTATGAGAAAACATGAATTCAGAAAAAAGGGGGGCGGCCAGAGGTTTAGCTCAGTGGCATAAGCACCTGCCTGACAAGCGTAAACTTATGAGTTTGATTCCCAGTACCAAAAAAAAAACAAAAACAAAAAACCATGAATGTGTTGCAATTTCTTTTTAAAAAATTTTCTTGGTACATTTTAGTTGTACACAGTGATCTTATTCATCATAGGAAATTTATTCCTATATGTTATATATTTTGATTCTTCTCTTTTTCCAATTCCTTCTCCTCATTTAACCCATCTTCCCTCCTCTATTTACAAAGGTTTGTTTATATCTCTTATTTTAATCATTGGTTTTCCATTTCTCCATTTTCTTTCCCCATTTGGCCACCTTAGTTTTCTTTCCTTTTGAATAATTCCTTCCCATTTCACAATTTCTAGGATGCATTTTGGCCCTTATTTACTCCTCTGGTTTCTCACACCAGTGAGACAATGCAGTGCTTACAATTAAAGGTCATGTTTGATCCAGCTATTTCACCTCTCGGTATCTTCCCAGAAGAATTAAAAGCATCATACCACAGCCATACAAACACACTCATATTTATAGCAGTACAGTTTGTAATAGCTGAATCTTGCGAACAACTCAAATGCCCATCAACTGAGTAACATAAATAGAGTAAGTGGGTATTTTTTTTAATTGGTACTGGGGATCAAACTCATGACCATGTGCTTGCAAGGCAGGTGCTTATGCTGCTGAGCTAAATCCCCAGCCCCACAGTAAGTGTTTTTAAAAAAATATAATGAAATACTCTTCTGCCATAAAGAAAGATTACATTTGAGACATTTCTATATAAAGAGATGCAACTTGAGACCATGCTCTTTATTTTATTTATTAATTTTTCTTTTTATCGGTACTGGGGATGGCACTCATGACTGCGTTCTTGCAAGGCAGGCGCTTATGCTGCTGAGCTAAATCCCCAGCCCTGAGACCATGCTCTTAAATCAGTTTAGTTGTTATAATCATGATAGCATAAAAAAGCATAGCATTTTCAGTATGGAGGCCGCGGACATTGAACAATGTCACATAACAAAAAAGATGGCTCTCATTAAGAGGAAAGCATAGCCCCAAATGTCAGCACTGCTGTGCTTGACTAACCTGCTGCAGCTATGTTTTCTTTCTGCGTGGTGCCCCTTCTCATCACTACTAGATTATACCCCGGGGCTTCCTGTGCATTTTTATGCTGCAGATACTGAGGACCCGAGATACTGATGAGTACTGTGCATGTGCTGTACCACTGAAATGCACCCCAACCTTAGGTGGATACCTTTGTAGTGCCCAACTATTCTGTTAGAGAATTCATACTTTAATTCATTCAATATTATTTTGCAGCTTTATTTGCACTGCTGATGTAGATGTAATTCCTAACAGGGTCTGCATTGTTAGCCTGCATAGCATTCTAATTCCCTTACCAGTTAGGGAAAGCAGGCTTGTCTGTCTGTCACTGAAATAAATGCATGAAGGGTGTGTACATTTAGTATGTACATTTTCTTACTTGCTGTCCAGAAACAGATTTGAGATAATCTCATGGATGCTCAGGAGCTTATTGTTTGGTGCAGACTGTGTATCATTGAAAATCTTATTATAAACCTTCCACACTATAACTACCACCACTGGGCTACAGTTTCTGTTCCTCATAACTATTGACATTAGACTTTTAAAAAAAAAGTTGGAGGCTTTCTTTTGGATTACAAACTTCAGCTTCTATACATAGCAAAATTTACTTGTTTCTTTTTTTTGGTCTTTTATGCTTTTATTTTTAGGCATTCTTTTTCCATTTCTTCAGTAAGAGCTTCTGTATATTATCTTATATCATCTTCTCATACTTGTGACAGCACTTTTTGTTTTTGTGTGTATTTCATTATATTCGTTCTTGTGATTTTTTTTATCTGTATTTTGAGTTCATTGAGAATTACCTTCCCTAACAGAAATCCTTACTATTGTCCTTTGTGTCTTTTCAAAATCACTGTAAGATTTGTGGCTCTATAATTAGTTTCAGATGATTTCCTAAGTCCTGTATCAGCAAGTCACGTTCTTACTATTTCTTCAATATTTGAGGTTCATATTTTACATTTTTCTTGAGTCTATGGAGAGTATATCTTTCAAAGTTTGGGACACATCTGAGTGCAAGGTGATCACTTGGTGCCACTGACATTTTTTTTTTACATTGTTAGCCTGTTTTCATTCTTTTCTACTTATTTATTTAATAGGGAGTAAAACAGGACAGTAAAATGAAACAAAACAAAACAGTGATAGGACAGTAAGAAATCCACAGTCATTACTATATTGCATATTGTTATCCTCTAAATAGTTGTCCAGACTAAGAGCCCCAAGCCTGCAAAGTTGTGACACAGGCTGAGATGATAATAACGGAAGTAATCTGACATTTATGTTGTTTGGTTGTATTCATTCTTCATAAACTTGTTCTAATAAAACTTTTTCAATTAACATTTTAATTACTCATATACTATATTTGATATTCAATTATGTTTTTTATTTGAAGCCAGATTAACAGTGCTGCTTCACAATAAGCAAAGAAGCAAAGTATAAAGGCCATAAATAATAAGAAAGCATTAAAGCCATTCATTAGGTATTCATGTGTCCCTGTGTTATATGCCTGGTGATCTTGTAGGCTCTCCTCTGTGAGCTCTGGATTAGATGCAGTGCACAGATCCCCTGGCAGTGACCCAGGAAAGAAACATTGCTGCTATTCTGCTGTTGCATTGACAATGAGTGGCAATCTAGAACCAGACTTTTTTTTTTCTGAAAAGAATGTACATACACATGAAATTGATGATCAAGACATGAAATTAAGATTTGGAAGATTCAGTCTCCATTCAGCTGTTTCGTTTTTGTTTTATTTTGTTTTGTTTTGTTTTAGTGAGTCAAGGTGTGTCACTGTGTAGTTCAGGCCTACTGTGACTTCACTTGGAACCCACACTGGTTTTGAACTTAGGGCAATCATCCTGCCTTAGACTCTGATTCCATCACATCTGGCTCTCAGTTCAAATATGTATTACAGGTATTGAGTTATCCCAACCTGTGGATCTCAACCCTCCTTTGAGAAATAAATGTATGGTCATTTAGGAGGCAGTGACCTTTGAGGATGTGGCTGTGAACTTCACCATGGAGGAGTGGGCTTTGCTGGATCCATCCCAGAAGAAGCTCTACAGAGATGTGATGAGGGAAACCTTTAGGAACATGGCTGCTATAGGTAAGGATGACATCTTTCTCATTTTTATCTCAAAGAATATGGTTTTTGCTCATCAATGCTGCTTCATTAAAAAAAAATGACCATACTTTGAAGAAAATCTCAGGACTGGCTCTACCATTTTATCAATCTAACTTGAATGTCTAAATTTTTTTTGTTATAGCATAATGAATTCTCCTATTTCTGTGTCATAATTCAGGAAGAACCTCTGATGACCATGAAGTTGAAGGAGAGCATCAAGATTACTGGAGATATCTAAGGTAATTTGTACATACAAGGAAATATAATGTTCCTCATGAGTCAGTGGGGAAGAATAAACATGATAATCAAGACATGAGGCCAAGTTCAATTTAATGTCACAAACATTTTGCAAAGATTGAGTCTTTCAACCTTACAATTGAATCATGAGCATGTATGAAATTTCATTTAGATTTTGTATGTAGGTGTATATCATACAGGAAATCCTATTAACAGATATTCTTCAGGATATCCATTCATGTCTACACATGAAAATAACACACTCAGTATCTAAAAATTCCTAACCTTGAAGCAGTATTCAAAATACAAAATTCTAGTGCTTCAGTAGGTAATTTCAAGCCATTGTCCAGAGAACTCAGTCCATTCATGACTTAACATTTTAGAAGGCATTCTCCAATAATGCTGTTGTCACTATGAGAGTCAGTACACAGATATTTCAAAAAGTAAAAATAGCAGTTGCATTTGATCCAGTATACCTCTCCTGAATATATTTGCAAAAGAGTTAAAATCATATTGTACAGAAACATGCATACTCATACACGAAGCCCGGGAACCACTGGTTGCATGGATGAAGGAAATCGTTGATAGGCTCAGTGTATTACTGTACTTTGATAAATCCAGCACTGTGGTTAGCAGATCATGCAGGATGACAAGTTGAAGCACAGCCAGTGAAACTCATTCATCAATGAGAACCTCAAAGTATGAAAAAAAAAAAACTCCAGAGATTTTGTGGTAGGATCTTTGTTTAATTCCCAGCACTGAAAAGAAAAAGAAAATATCTTTTTTTTTTTTTTTTAATCGGTACCGGGGATCGAACTTACGACTGCCTGCTTGCAAGGCAGGTGCTTATGCCACAGAGCTAAATCCCCAGCCCCAAGAAAATATCTTCTATATTCAACCAAAAAGATGGGCAATATGCTGTCAGCTTTCTCCCATAAAGTTAAGTGAAAAACTTCAGACAAAAATGTTAAATGGTTCTCGTATGAGAAGCCAAAAACTATAAATTAGTAAAGTAAAGAAGAGGTGAAAAAGGAAAGGTTAACTTTTGGAGATGGGAATCACAAAAAGTGAAACGAGAGGAAGGAGAGTGATGGGGGAAAGGGTATCAATATGTGATACACATATATGCCAACTGCAAAATAGAGCAACATAAGCATCTCCTAATGAATATGACGGGCAGTGGATGGTTAGAGGGTATTCTCCTAGGATTCAATTAATACATTTTCAAAATTTCTTAGGCATCAAAACAAAGTTTGTTCTGTTAAATCTTTAATATGGAGAGTTTTTATCATGACTTTTTTTTCTTAACAGCAGTGAAGATGTAGAGAAATCCTATCGATGTAAAATTTGGAATAAATATGAAGAAATATTCCTTTGGAATCCAGATGCTAAAATGGACATGCAAAAAGCTGGTTTAATACAAGCAAAAAGCCTTGATTGTAAAACACCTCTGAATGGGCATTTGTCACTGAATGTGCCCATGGTAGCTCACACTGCATCAGAGGCATATAAATATTTGAGATCTTTAGAGAAGTTTTATAAATGTACTCAACGTGGAAGAAACTGCTGTGATTCCCAGTCCCTTCAGAAACATGCAAGGACTAAGGCTGGAGAGAGACCTTATCAGTATGATCAGTGTGGGAAATCCTACTCTGATCTTAGTGAAAGAGCACATTTTAGAGATGACTTCCTATGTAATAAAAGTTTGAAAGCTTCCAGCACACCCAATGATGATCAAAACTGGGAAAGACAACACTATGGGGGAAAAAATTGTGTATATAAGCAATGTGGACAATCTTTCGTCAGGCACAGAAAATATAAAATGCATGGAACAGCTCACATGAAGGAGAAATCCTGTGTATGCAAGCAATGTGGCAAAGATTTCAGCAAATATGTTCATTGTCTAAGACATGAAAGGACTCACACTGGGGAGAAACCCTATGTATGTAAGCAATGTGGGAAAGCTTTCAGCACAAGTTATTATTGTCAGATACATGAAAAACTCCACACTGGGGAGAAACCCTATGTATGTAAGCAGTGTGGGAAAGCTTTCAGCACACATGGCTATTGTCAAAGACATCAAAGGACTCATAGTCAAGTTAAATCATATTTGTGTAAGCAATGTGGGAAGGGTTTCAGCACACATGATTATTGTCAAAGACATGAAAGACTTCACTCTGATGAAAAACCCTATACATGTAAGCAATGTGGAAAAGCTTTTAGCATACGTGATTATTGTGTAAAACATGAAAGAACTCACAAACAGGCTAAACCATACATATGTAAGCAATGTGGGAAAGCTTTTAGCACAAATCCTGACTGTAAAAGACATGAAAGACTTCACACTGGAGAAAAACCTTATGTATGTAAGCTGTGCGGGAAAGGTTTCACCAGAAATGCTCATTTGCAAAGTCATGAAAGAATTCACACTGGATAGAAAAGCTATGTATGTAAGCAATATGCAGAAGCTTTCATCACACATTCATATTGTCAAATACATGGAAGAATTCACAGTGGGGAGAAACTTTATGTAAGAAATGTGAGAAAGTTTTCAGGACACATAAATTGTGAAACAGGAAAGAATTCACACTGGGGAGGAAACCTTATATATTGGTTGATACATTGTGTCAAATTGAGAAGTTTAGAAGTTTAAGCAACTCAGCAGGGATCCAGGGTCATCACTTTTTAAACATCCTGAGTGTGCAAGAAGAGGGTACTGAGACTGTGGGTGCTACACCAGCCCTGGTAGGGTGTAGCCTACTTAAAATGTAAGGGAGGAAAAGTAGCTTGCTGTTCCTGCACTTCAGCTCTTACTATGTTTGCTGTCTTCTGCCACTTAAAGTGTTGTCTCTGCCATGCCACCTTGCTTTGGAGCCATCTCATTATAGACTGAAACCTCCATAAACTGTGAGCTAAATAAACCTTTCTTAATTTTGAGTATCAGGTATTTTTTGTCCCAGCAACAAGAGAAAAGTAACTAAGGTATACTATACATGCAAATAATGTGGCAGAGCTTTCAAACACATGAAACAACACACTGGCGAGAAATCCTACATAAGTAAGAAATGTGGGACAGCTTTCTGTATAACAAATGATGTTTTTGAGTTCAGTGCTACATTTTCTATGAAGATAAATATTTGAGAGGCTTGTGAGCATGTGTTTTTGAGCTCAACGTTTCAAAATTGAGACGTCATTACATAACCTATTTATTAGCATGCTGTTTTTCATATAATAAAATACTGCTTGTATCCTAACATCATTGTACATTATTTCGTGTATATATGTCACTATATATTTCATGTATATAGTGCTGCATGCTTTTCTTTTTTACTGGAGCCAGTACTATGATTTACATAAATTTTTATGTCTTCTTACCCTCCACGTTTTCTTTTCATGTTTATATTTCAATGACTTTTAATTTTCTGTCAATTTTCCCATTACATGTACAAAATATGAGCTATACTGCTGTGATAGTCTCATTGCTCTACATCAGCAGGGACATATATTATCTCCAAAAGGATATGGATTATTTTTTATTTTTTTATTTTGAAGAGAATAAAACCAAGTGAGACAAAACAAAATAGAGTCAATCAAAAGAAAAGGATGAATATGGTACATGACTTAAAAACAAAATACAAGGAGATAAATAATGGCTACTGTAATGCCTTTTGTTATTTTCAAAAGAATTACCCATATCAGGTGTAATAAAATGGAACAAAACAGTACAGCACAAAACCAATAAAAACAAAACAATGGAGACAGGACTTCAAAAGGATATAAGAGTAAAACCACAATGGGTATCATAATGCATCTTATTGACTTCAACGTAGTTGTTTATACTATCAGACGTGATACTATCAAACAAAACAGAGTAGAATAAGATCAGTCAAAACAAAACGATGAAAGCAATACAGGGCTTCAAGTCAAGCTAATAGGAAATCAACAGTTGTTACCATAATATATCCTGCTATCTTTGGAATAGCTGTCCATGCCATCAAATCTAATACAAGTAGGCAAACTAAAACAATAAATCAAACTAAACATAATAAAAATATGGATTTCAAATCATGATAAATTAACAGTGGCCACTGCCTTCCCTTTTTAGACAAGTCTTCCCCTTTCACTTTCACAGGATGTGTTGTACATTTTGGTACCACTAACTCCTTTAGTTTTTATACTAGGGAGGCAACATGCTATTCACCTAGATGACTAAACCTTTTTACCTCTGGACATGATCTCAACTTGTATCCATTTACCTACAAGAGCCTCAAGGTTATCTTTATAGCTGAGTAGTTTTCCATTGTATAAAGGTGTCATGGCTTGCTAACCAATCTGCAGCTGATTGGCAAGCTACTTCAACTTTTTTCTGGTTTCCTGTCGCATAGAGCATTATTGTCTCATCTTTGACTTCCAGTTTACAAACAGTTTCACGTTACATGTGTTTCTTCATAATGCATATTGATGGACCCTATCTCCTGATCCAGTCTGTTTCTTTCTTTCTTTCTTTCTTTTTTTTTTTTTTTTTTTTTTTTTTGTCTTTTTTGTTTTTATTGGTACCAGGGATCAAACTCATGACTGCCTGCTTGCAAGGCAGGCGCTTATGCAACTGAGCTAAATCCCCAGCCCCGACTCTGTTTCTTTTTATTGGTGAATTGAGGCCATCTGTATTAGTGATTATGGCCAACCTTCTCTGCCTTGTCTCTGCCATGCTATTTTTCTTCTGTTTATTGCCTACTGTTACCCTTCATTCCACTGTCTGCCCCGCTCAGTGAGCATACTCTGCCAGTGTTCTTGAAATGATGTACTTTTTCTCTTTCTCTAGAATGAATGTCCTTCATTATTTTTTTGTAGGGCTGGTTTGGTGGTCATGAATTCCTGCAGTTGTTCTTTGTCATGAGAGTATCTTGTTTCTCCATATTTTGAGAGATAGTGTTTCAGGGTACATCAATCTGGGTTGGAGGTTATTTTCTTTCAGGACTTGGAATACTTCACTCCAAGCTCTTCTTGATTTGATGGTTTGTGTTGAGAAGTCTGTCATGATTTTGATGGGTTTTCCTTTATAGATGATCTGTTTCTTTTCTCTGACAGCTTTTAATATTTTGTTCTTGTGTTGAATTTCTGGGATCTTGAGTATTATATGTATGGGTGCAGATTTGTTTTAATTGGCTGGAGTTCTGTATACCTCACTTATCTGAATATCATTTCCTTTTCCTATGCATGGGAAGTTTTCTTTAATTATTTCTGTACATAGCCTTTGTATTTCATTTGTGTTTACCCCTGCTTTCTTACTCACATTTATTATTCTTTTTTTTTTAATTTTATTTTGAAAGTATACAACAGAACAAGACAGAAAAAACCCAACTAAGATCATACAGTGAAATTGGTACAGAACTTCACAGCAGGTTACCGGGATAACAGTAATAGGTATCACAGTATATTTTGTTATCTTTATAATAGTTGTTCTTTCAATCGTGTATATCAAAATGAGATGAAATATAGAACACTATAGAACTTATCAAAACAGAATATTAAATAGAGCAGTACCATTAATCAGAAAAGAGCAAAATAGTAATAAAAATATTTGCCTTCAAAGAGATGGTAGAAGGAAGTCCTCCTTATTTGTTATGGTCAACCTCCCAGGAGATGCTCAGATTTCTGGTTTCCATTTGCTAATGGGCAGCAGGGGGCGGGAGAGAAGGGGGATAGGGGAAGTGGGATATTTGACTCTAGGCCGTGCATCAGTAGGTTCACTATTGCTTAGCAGGGAGGCAGGCTGGTTATTTGGTTTCACAGCGTCCTAAGTTCCAACATGGTGCTGACCTCAGGAGCTGCTGCTGGTTCTCCCCCTGGAAGGGCCTCAGTCTGCCAGACCACCACTGCTTACCAGGGAAGGGAGGTACTTGCTTGGCTTCCCAGTGTCCTCAGTTCCAACATGGCATGGATCTCAGGAGCTGCTGCTGGTTCTCCCCCTGGAAGGACCGCAGTGTTCCAGACCACTACTGCTTACCAGGGAAGGGAGGTACTTGCTTGGCTTCCCAGTGTCCTCAGTTCCAACATGGCACGGATCTCAGGAGCTGCTGCTAGTTCTCCCCCTGGAAGGGCAGCAGTCTGCCACACTGCCACCACTTACCAGGGAGGGGAGGTGCTTGCTTCTCATTTATTATTCTTAAATTATACTTCTTTTTGCCATCTTGTAGCCTTTGAATTGTTACTTCCTGGTTCCTTGTTATTTTTCCTTTCATGATTGCAAGGTTTGAAAGTCTGTCTTTAGTTTCTTTCAAGCAGTTTTGCCGGCTTTCAATGGTGTTTTTAATTTCCTGGTAATCTCTTTGAACCTGTTTCATGTATTCTAAGTCTTTTTTATATTTGTCATTGAAGGTTTCTTTCATTTTCATATGCTCCTCTGTTCTTCTGTCTTTGTCTTCTTTAGACATGATTGGCAATTCTTTTATTATGTTTCTTATTTCTTCTTTTACCTGAGACAGTATTTCTGTTCTAATTTCTTTTATTGCCTCATTAAGTTGTTTCTTTACTTCAGTTGCTATTACTTCAGAAACTTCAAGTGTGCGACTCCTATCTCTTCTGTGTTTACATCTCCTGAACCAGAACCGTTTGGGTTGGAGGCCAGAGACTGCCTTGTGCTGCTTCTTCTTCATGTCATGTTCCTGGTTTCTTCCAGACAAGTGGGTAGTGGGGTCCCTGGCACTTCCTGTGTTGGCTACAATTTCTCTGAAGCAAGACTGTTTGCTTTTTCTAGCCCATGCTGGCTAGGGATATTTGATGGATATCTGATTCACTGGTGTAGAGCTGTTTGCCTCTATTCCCAGCCTGCTTTGGCTAATTAGTGGCTGCTGGAGTGCAAACAGAGGTGGAGCAGGCTGCTGCCTCCCACTTGAGCTGGTTAACAACAGAGAGCTCCCACCACAGAGTATGTGCAGGGATGGAGCTGGTTAGGGATAACTTTAGAGAAACCACAGTGATGGCTGTTGGAATACACACAAAGGTGGCATTCATTCCAAGCAATTTCCGAAGCAGTTTCAGTCTGCTCCAAGCTAGGACTGGCAAAAGGATGCTGGCTGCAGTTCCAGTTCCAAGCTTATTGTGCCTGACTCTAAAATGGCTCCTGGCCATTCACCCTCTACTGTGGGAGGACTGAGCCCTCTACACTCACCATCACTCAGTGCATTTCTCTAGTCTGCTGCTTCCCTTTGCCACCACCTTCAGAGGTCTTTTGGCTTGCCAGCCACCACCTTCACTGTGACCGTGCATCCCCGGGTTTCAAAGCTCTTCGCTATAGTGGGTGTAGCTCTGGCCGAAAGCACCTCCAGCTACTGCCTTCTTCTGTTTCAGTTTTTCTTTTTTTATTCTCTCTGGGAACTTCAGTTCTCACTGTGGATTCTTCCTGAGTCGAGGGGAGTGACTTTCTTCCTTCTTGTCTTCCCTACAATGCTATTTTCCAGCATCTGGACTGTTTCTCTGAGAGAGGCTGTTTATTCTGCTGCTTACTGTTCCACCATCTTCCCAAAACCTCTATTTTTGTCATCTTTTTAAGGTGACCCTCTTTGTCATAGTTATAACATTTCCAGAGATGCAAGGTTGCAGCAAGACCTTGAGCTCCATAATACTCCGGTCCTACATTTTGGCTCTCTTATTCATTTCTAAATTTCTACCCTTTAGAGAGGCCTCTAAAGATGGCTTGGTAATCAAGACTCCTGAGGGGGCAATGGAGGCTGCAAAAAGAGAAATAACTTCTTCTTTGGAGCCTCTTTTTTTTTTTTTTTTTTTGTCTTTTTTTCGTTTTTATTGGTACCAGGGATCGAATTCACGACTGCCTGCTTGCAAGGCAGGCGCTTATGCCGCTAAGCGTTTGGAGCCTCTTTTGTTTCTATGGTACAAAGAGAGACCCTGAAAAGTTGCCAGGTAACAAAGTGCACTCTGTTTCCTGAGCTGAGATATTGTTTCACTTGGCACCAAACTTGTTTCCTTTCTTTGTATCCAAATTACCCCTTAATGGGAACCAGGACAGGGTTGAAAAATGCCAAAAATTCAACAAGCCAATGCTCTGAAACCTTGCATTCCAGACATTTATAAAAGACACTGCAGATGCTGCTTAAACAGAAGTATGATAGCACAATGAAAAAAAAATAAAAGATAAGACAAAGATTGCACAAATAATCAGTCCTCTACTGACTAAGAAACTGAACATTGATAACCTCTGGGTTGAAAAACCTAGGCTGCAACTTCATTGAGACAT